GGGGGGGGGGGGTGACTGTACTGACTTACTGTCTCACAATTATACTTTCCTTGACACTATAAATGCCTTCCACGCTCCTAATACGTTCAAACATATATGTAACTGCATGTACATACTCTATTCAATGTAGATAAAGTAGATCTGTGTACTTTCTCGTATAGTGTACTCGGCCTCGGCCCAAGCCTAAAACAGGATAGCCCCTCACATGACCAGCACAGACCACCTCGCTTCAAGTTTTTCCGGTGAAGCCCGTTGCTATAAATCCGCCTGTTTTCCTCTTTTCCATCTCTCATGCTTTGAAGTTTGAGAGCCTCGACAGGCCACTTCCATCTCAGATGAATTCTTTCTGATACCTGTAATAAATTTGCTGTCACCTATCATGATTGCCGAGATGCAGCCGGATCTCCACCATGACCAGCTGGAGGCCGTGGGCAAAGCCTTCGATGCACTCCTACTAACCGTGTACCGGCTGACTCACAGACAAAATGAGCTGTTCCAGCACATAGACAATGTCTTCAAAGAGGTAAATGCATACCCCTTCTCTCTTTCCCCCAGCTTCCGCATACTGGTCTCGCATGACGAGGAAAAGCTCTAGATCAGGAGTCACTTTTGTGACAATGACGGATTAACATGTATTATCTGATTGAGACCATGACTGCCTTGCTCTTATGCATTTGACAAGATGAAATCGCTGACTTTGTATCTTGCAGTACACAGATGTGATAGAAATTCTGCCTCCTCAAGATAGACATCGTGCATTTGACGTTCAAACCAAGCTGCTCCAACAGAAAGAAGAATATCGTCAGGGCCTCGTACACAGCAAACCTCAAGTTGAGGAACAACCGTTGAATTCCATGGATGTAATAAAGACCCTCGTTGCACATCAAAATGTAGACGAAAATACTTTCTCGGCCATCAAGAACGGAGTGAAAGGGTGCAAATCTCTGCTCCGTTCCCAAGATAGCCTCTCCCAAATATCCTCCAACTCGTGCATCCTCGCGCAAGCACCGGCTCCAGTAATCGCGCTGGAGAAGGACTTCACAACGAATGGCACCCAGGGAAATTTACATTGCCCCTTCTCCAAACCGAATAAGATGCAGAGCGCAAATGGCAGCGAGGCCCCCAGTGGGAAGAACTCTGCGCCCAAGATCCAGATCGAAGCCACCTGCGGCCATGAGCATCTGGACCCAATCAGGGCTGAACTCGAAGAACGACGCTCTAGCCACACCCCATCAGCCCCGTCCTCAAAAGGAGCATGTCCCGTCTCCCGATGTCCGATCCGATTCCTCGATCAACACTCCCCAGAAGAAATCGCCGAATACGTCGAACGACACAAACATGAGATTCCCCGCAGCCACGCAATTTGCGTCAAGCGCTATCAGCGAAACCCACAGGACATGAGACAACTGGATGCCAAATACGGTGGCCTGACCAGCATGATCGCTGGTTTAGGTGTCAAGCATCAAGCCTTCCTGCCTGACCGTCATACCAGCGGCGAAGGCCACTCCTCGCACTCTGCGTCGAGCGAACGTGTTGAGAAATGGGCCGAGAACGTGGACCCCAGTACGCTCAGTGTCCCGAACGAGGAGAAGAACGAGGAGGAGAAGAACGAGGATGATAACCGCCAGAGTCACTTTGACCGTCCCCTTCGTGAAGTCCGCGTCGGTGAATCCCCGAGCAGGCCTTGGGGCATTTCAGTGCCTGTCACACATCTACCCCCGCCCTCAGCGTCTATCCCCGCATCCCCCGACCGTCACGCCGACAGACCTGATAACCCCGGCGATGCCAACATCATTGACGCTAAGCCTGCCGGCGGCTGTCCATTCGGCCACGGCAAATCGAAGCCCGAAGCCACAAAGCCCGAAACTCTAAACCCCGAAATGGAAACATATCGGAGTGCGGGAAGGCCCAAGGACAATGATACTTTCGCACCAAAGAAACCTGGTTGTCCATTCGGCCACGATAAGCCAAAGACCGAAGTTCCAAAGCCTGAAACCGAGACCCCCTGGAGTGGTGAGTGGCCTAAGACCTGGCCCAAGGACCAGGCTATCGCAGATCAAGCACTCGATCCCCAGCTTGCTCCGGCTGCTCCCGTGAGCGATGGCTCGACTACGAAACCCGGCATTCCCCCAACATTCTCCACTCCCTCCCACATCACTTTCAATGGCCCCGTCTTCTTCGGCTACTCCGCCGAGGAGACTGCCAACCTGTTGCAGCAGTTTGGCAACCTGGGCCAATCATGACCCGAAGAAACTTCTTGTGTATAGTATGTTCATGGAAGGCGCAGGCTCTTGACGCATCACGATGAGACGACTTAAATTTTTTTTAGCGTTGTCACTGTATTAGCACAATTGAATCCTGATTTAATACGAATTCTAATATAATATCTATGATAGCTATAACTAATAACGAAATCTAAAATGTGAAGCACCAGAATGACTTCATCGGAGAGAGTCGACCCTCTCCGAGGGAAACTCGCAGAGCGGGGCACCTTCTTTATCAACACGACATTCGTATATAACTTCCTCTCTCCCCGATGCTGCGAATTACTCCTCGTCTTCTATCTCTATCTCGACTTCTCCGTCCTTCAATCCCACTCAAACCCCATTTCCCTTCTCCCATAATGTCTGCCAACATGTCCATCATCTCCGCTAAGGATGCCTGCCCTCGTAAGTCAAGGCCCCGCCAGCTATGGATCCTCCCCTGCCTATTAGACAGCGAAAGCGGGCAATTCCAGAAAAAGAATCAAAACAAAGAGCAATAGCTAACTCACATCTCCTATAGCTGCCGGCCCTTACGTACGTCGTCCTTCCCTCCATCTATATCTGCAGCTCCATCTACCTTGAGAGCTACCCCTCCACACCGGAACAACCCACTCCACAACACCATTCCAAACACATATTGCACAGACATAGAAGAAACCACCTAACAAACCCATAACAGTCCCAGGCCATCCGCGCCAACGGCCAGATCTTCGTCTCTGGCCAGATCCCCGCTGACTCCTCCGCGAACTTGGTCGAGGGCAACATCGGCGCCAAGACACAGGTTTGCTGCGATAACATCAAGGCTATCCTGACCGCCGCTGGTTCCAGCGTGGACAAGATCGTCAAGGTCAATGTATGTATTTTCCTCCCCGGCTTTGTTATTGTGGTGATTCTGGACTCGACTTTGCCAGGGAGAAAGAAGTATACACAAGTTATGAGAAGGAGGACGGTTTGCTGATTTGGTTTCTTTTCTTAGGTCTTCTTGACTGATATGGCCAACTTCGCTGAGATGAACGCTACTTACGAGAAGTTCTTCGTTCACAAGCCTGCTCGTAGCTGTGTTGCTGTTCACCAGCTGCCCAAGGGTGTGCCTGTTGAGATTGAGTGCATTGCTCTCGAGTAGATTGGGATTTATTTAATTTCAGTCTTACCGAGTCAATGAAAACTATATAAAACACAGTTTAGAAAAAGAATAAGAATGAGAATGAATTCGAATTATGTTGTGGAGATCCTCGGGAGATCTTCTTCATCTTGAGTATTTCCATTTCCTATCCCGTTTCCTTCGAAGAACATACATGCGCGAGTACAAGCAGATACCAAATTGGGAATCATAAAAGTCAAGGGTGTTGATGCGCAATGAGATAGAATGCAAGGGACGAAGGAAATTGAGAGGGAAGAAAAAAGAAACACAACATTGCTGGCTGGATGGGTAAGGAAAATAGGAAACATGGACGTCACAAGTGGAGAGCTTGCTAGACAGGTGTACATTCACCTGCCGCGGGGGATGATACCGCTCATGCGGCTTCCAGCACCGGCCATTAGGCTCTGTTTCACGATAGCATCAGCAGCAGCAGCGGCGGCAAGTCTTTCCTTCTGACGGCTACGGTCTCGGAGATAACCGGCAGCTTCGGGGCGCATGCGAAGAATGCGCAGGATCATATCGTCGTTAGGATCGGCCTGCGCTTCCCGTCGCTTCTCTTCCTTGGCTTTCCTCATCGTGCCGAGGTTGCGGGAGAGCATGATGCTCTTGGCGCGACGGGCAGCGGGAAGACCCAAGCCGCCGTAGCCGGCACCTGTGGCGCCGAGGTGGGCAGGCGCGGAGGTGCGGTTGCGGGCAGCTTGTTGGCGGTTGACGGTCGCCGAGGCCATGCGTTCGGAGGTGCGAATGAGGTGCTCCGTTGGTTCGAAGTAGAAGAAATTCAGAGACTGGATTTCATGGTATTTGGGTGATTTCAGGATATCGATTGGGACACCGTTTGCTTCGCCGGTTTCGTCGTCAATCGCATGGAAGAAGTTCAATAGTAGTACGAGCCAGCGTGATACGATGTCGACTTCTTGTATGGTCAATGGCTTCTGATGGGATGGCTTATCTGACAGAGGTGGTACGAGTAGACTCTCGATAGTGGCAAGCACTTCCTTCCATAGGCGAGCCATCACCATTTTCATGGCTTCGGGTGTGAGGGTTTTGTTCATGATGGCGAAGTTGTCATTGAAGTAATTGAACAAAGGAGTCAGTGCATTTTCGACGTCTGCCGGGGTGGGTCCGGCAGGAGCTGGCTGTGCCCGGTTGCGATTCAAGAAGCTCGAGACACTAGATATACTCAGTCCGCGAGAGAGCAGAGACTTCAGTGTCCGCCGGGAAAGACAGTGACTGATGTATGCCGAAAGCTTCTCGGTGATCTTCCGAGTCATATCCCTTTCAGTTCGTTTGAGGGTACGGAAAGCCTTGCCGAAGTAGAACTGGATGTCGTCCCGCTCGCCTTCCATACTAACTCGGAGGAGAAGCCGACCCTGGGTATCCAGGTCGAGCCAATACTCTCTTGGCAGGAAGTCACTGAAGTGCACAGGATCCAGCTTGATCGACGTGCGACCAACGTAGTCGTGATCGCCCACTGCATCCCAGTCCCAGATGGTGGCGATGATATTGAGAGGGCCCTGTGTAGTGAGATCCACTGCATCCTCCCATCGGGGATTAAGATTATTGTAGATGATGCGGGTTTTGGCAATTCGTTTCTGATATTCGTCCGTCAAGACAACATATGGATCGCTGCCACCACCGATGTCGCATGCTTTCAAGTCCTCTGCCTCCACTACCTTGATTGTAAAGACATAGGTGGTAGACTTGCGGACCTTCTTGAGCTGCGGTGGAGTATTTCTTGCAATGACTTCGGCGCACGCGTCGACATTGATGTCCTTTTCGAGTTTGTCGAGCTGAGCGAGTGCATACTCGATATTGTTCAGTTTCACCAGGGACTTTGAAAAATGTTAGCCGCGATATTTACCCAGTTAAGATGGACAAGAACATACCTCTGAGGAGAATTGGAAGGGCTCGATTTTGTCCTTATTCGTCCAGGTGTCTTTGGCGAACTGCATCAGTTTTTCTTGGGTGGTTTGGTTCAATGCTGCCTCTTGCTCGGGTGTGAGGCGATCCATCTCCCGCGTGAACATCTTTTCTAAGGAGTCACAGTACGTTGCCACACCTTTCCCAATTGAATTAGAGAGATGCGTCATGAATTTCGCATATTGGAGATCATCGTCCCACTCCAGTTGCACCATATTTTCAACGACTTGGTTGAAAGATCGGAAAATGTCAATAACTGACACACTGTGACGATCGTCTTCAGGCGCAAGCTCTGTCGTTCCATCTGCACGAACGGCGAATGCATCTTGTCTGGTAGCTTGGCTGACCCAATCCATGATCTTTTGATCAGTCAGACGAAGCCATCTCCAGACGAAGTCTTGAAGGAGACTCTCCACATGGAATGGGAATGGAGCACTAGGCTGAGTTAGTAATTTCACACGAACAGCACGGGAGTCCAGGGGCTTACTCCTCATGGGTGTTGTGGAATAACCGTCTGATAGTAGCAAGCTGCTTGTATAAGTCGAAGCCGTCGTCAATAGCGATCTCCTCACCCCTCGCTTTTGCCTGTTCGAGAATCCTAATGATCATTTCATGTGCATCTTCAGCGAACATAGGGAGTACATTGTGGCACAAGGTGGTATAGGGGTTCACACTATCTGTAAGTTAGAGACTGATCAACTAGACAGGTGAGAAAGAAAGAACGCACCCCATGATCTCCGGGTTATTGCGGTAGCGTTTCTGTATCTTTAGCGCAAGCTTTGAGATTGCATCTCCAAGCTGAATGACATGGTCGGGATCCCAGGCCTCTTGTTCCACGGGGATTAGTTGGCTAAGAAGGCTTTGATACTTTGTTGTTGCTTTTTCGGCAAGTCCTTCTTGCACATACGTGCTGAATCGATTGATGTCTTCAGGGTCCTCAATGTAGCTGGGATCCATCTGGACGTGGGTGTCGAGAATGTACATAACTGGACCGAGGGGGCGTGGCTTTGCCTCAAAGCAGTCCATCATAGCCTCATATAGCTCTCGAAGCAAAGCCTCGTGAAGTTTGGACAGCAGCATTTGCATCGTCTGAACATCATGTACGGTCCATCGTTGCCGATCAAAGACAGCGGAAGCCGCAAAGCTACTGCGTTTGCGGTTCTCGCCCGTAGGCATTTCCTTCACAAAAGTAAATGCCGAGTCAAGTGTAGTGAGATCAATCTCATTGTCGACAAATTTAGTTTGAGCCACCTCAAGGAACAACACGACCCGGGAGAAGGTTGGAATCCGCCAGCGGAGACATATCTCATTAAGCATTTCGGTGGACTGTTTCGAAAGCAGTTTCATTGAAGGTACGTCAGATGTGGCCTGTGTAGCTTCAAGCTCCCGGTCCCGCAGGTCATGCGTCAAGGTCTGGGACAAGATATATTTGTACAATGACCTAGGGTCAGACGGTATGAATGTGTATGTATCGGACTCATCTGACTCTTCTAGGGAAAGCCCGCTCAAATCAACAGGTTGATCAATGACATAAGATGTTCTGTCAGTCCGACCAGACGATGTCCTTGACAGATCGGGGTTCTCGTGTGGACTTGAATTGAACTGAGGAAGAGATCCGGGAGTGCTTTTGGCCAGTTCGGGGTTGGACTGCATGATTGCGAGCATCATCTGTGAGAGATCAGGGCCTTCGCTCTTTTTCCAGCCATCATAAGCCTCGTCCGACTCAAAATCATCTCTGGACAAGGTTTTGTGTGTCTGGAGGTTCAGGTGGGCTTGATACGTCTTTAGATCCTGCAGAGCGGCCTTTTCAGTCCAGGTAGACTTGTGTTTATCGATTTCGGATTGTGCTTGGGATGTGGTCATCCCAAAGATCTTGACCACATGTTGAACCAGGGGCATATCCTTCACATTGTAACTCAATGCGCCAACACTCTCTGTCGCAGACATAGGACCGTTCGTTTGCATGAGGTCCTGATCTTGCAGGAGAAGCTTGTTTTCCAGCACCGTCAATCGATTGGCCAACTCTGGGCGGTCCTTGGACCATTCGTGATCTTTCAAAGTGAGCGCAAGGAGTCGGACAAAAAGTGCAACGTGCCGATCCACCATTAGCTTCCAGCTGTCATCGTCATGCTCTTTGCCCTTGCCCAGCTCTTTGACTGCGTTGGAGTAGAAAATCAGGAGCAGATCTTCAGCTCGTCGGTCCTTCTCCATGCGTTTTCGGAATGAGTCTTCCTTCAGAACATTGAGAAAGACAGCGAATGTCCGCACCACCAGGTGATCTTGATATTCCTTCCTTTTCTCCTTTCCTATCAATACGCCCGTCAACCGCTTCTCCAGCTCGGACACGAAGCCATGGGGAACCCTGGTGCTTTTGGAGTCCCTGACCAAGGAGAAATCGCTCATTAAATCATGAATGGAGGTGGCTGATCGTTTTGGCCGCGCCGGCGCGACGGGGGCATTTTGGATGCGACGAGAGCGAGGGTGGAGGAGATAGGCAAGGTAGGCGACCCGAAGGGCATGGCTGTATGCCACGTTGGCATTTAGAGGGCGGCGCCGCGCTATAGACGAGTTACGCGAATGACGACCCTCATTTTGGAGGCTGTTAATCCGTCGGTTGACTCCTCGGGATTGGGTAGATGCTGTCGACATGGAGTTGTCAATTAAAGTCGTGCAACGTTAGGAGGTGACAGGTAGCGCTGGACCATGGAGAAAGTTAGGAAGTACCCAGCACCTTGAAGAAGATTTTCAGATATTTTCTTTCCCTTTCAGTCCAAAGCGAAAGCCGTCACAAAGCTGGAGGGGCAAGTTTGTTTATTGAAGGGGAAGAGGGAGGGGGGAGGTGAAACCAGAAAGCTGCCGAACCAACTGACGTATGGGCGTCCCGCCCAAAAAGCAATACTATGTGCCTGTCTGACTATACTATGGGGTTACTATGTTTTTTCCCCCTTCTTTTCGTTTCATATACCAGCGCTTCTTACGTATCTCTAGCCCAAGGAGTCCTGATCCTTGTTCTCCCTGGATGAGGCCAAAGTTATAAAGCTGCAAGGGTTTCCTGGTTATTGGGGAAGATCAACATTGACATTAAGTCAAAAGTTATATCTAAACAGTGATCTACGGGGATATCCAAAGGCATCCAGAAAAACCTCTAAAAGGATATCTAGAAGATATCCTAGAATGACACGGGGGGACATCGTACTGTTTCAAATATAACGTCCGTAATATCAAATGGATATAAATGCGATATATCGGCACATACGACAAGCGCAGAAGTAGTTTTTAATCCAAATTCATTCCGAGCATGCGATCGGGCTTTTTCGGGTTTTGATGAAACATAGGACTAGTGAATCGACCACCAGTCCCCAAAGACGCCGAAGATAGAAAATCGTACTGGTATTTACACAAACAAAAAGAGAAACCAGATGTCAATCACCACTTGTCACCGTCCTTGCGAGCCTAAAGCAAACGGTTAGCTCTTTGCCTTTGTAAGAGGTTGCTGCGAATATCATGCCCAATACATACCGGCAGAGCGTTGGGACCTCCCAACTCCTTCTCCAGACCATCGACGTAGGTCTTAGGAGCACTCGGCTTGTCGGGGTAGTTGAGGCTGACAACGCCAACCAGGCCAAGGAAAGCAGCGATGAAGCATCCGAGGTGAAAGAAACCCTTGCCGGCCGAGACGTGGGTATATTGCTCGGGACTGAAGACTCCGAGGATTTCGTTATCCTCGTGCACAGGCTCGCCAAAGTTGCGCTTTTCTTGCGCATCCCACCAACCACCGTAAGGGTCTCTGTGTGCCCGCTTCAAAGGGGGAGGGTTCGGGTAGTTGTTGTTCTGTCTCGAGGGTTAGGTTCCCGGATACCAAGTAGGGAGACGGCATCTGTGCCATATGGATGCTATACCTGTAGAGGATCATCAATCTCAGCAGTACGGAGAGCTGGGATCTGGGAGAAAGATGCGCGGGGGGCAATGGCTCGAGCGGCAACCTGGGGCAGGCGCCGGGCCAAGATCCGTTGAGACAGCATCTGGGAGAGGAATTGGAGGTCAGAAAGGCTGGAGAGTATTTGAAGTTAAGATTGAGTGAAAGAAAGTGACTCACACTTATGCTGAAAGAAAAGCAGCAAATGAGTTGTCAGAGAAGGCAAGAGAGCCAATTGGATAGAGGGGGTTGAACATCGATGATGAACGGATGGAGGTTTGCGGAATGTTGTGGCCTGAGGCATCTAGTCACAAGACTTCAGGCATCTACGCGCCGGCGCGACCATGTAATTACTCGCCCGAAGGAAAAAAACCACTCTCCACGTATTCTCATCATCTCCGTTGTTTTTCCGTCCCCATCCACGCTACAGCGCCGATAAGCATGTTAAACTTCTTGTAGTATCTCTACTCTATATCCTCTATTTTCTGATGCCAAAATCTTCTACTTCGACTGCGTCATTGTTGGGATAACTGGGGTCACCTGCCACCAACGGCCCCTGTCGTCTGCGGCTACAAGTCATGCAAAACGGCACCCCCAACAGCCCATCACCCCAAGATGAAAGCGTGACGCCTGTGCCCGATTATACGCCGCTCAACGGGTCTGTAATCGAAAATCCATCGGATTCTGCCCCCCACGAATCGATTCCTTCTGAGCCGAAAGACGTCGAAGCTGTTCATCAACCTCCATCGAAGAAACGAAGACTCACAGATTCATCCTCGTCGCAACGTTCCACTCCCAGACCACCATCGCCGCCTTGGAAGAAGGCTGGCTTTGAGGGACCCACATCTTTCCTGTCTGATGGCAAGCGTAGGTCTTCGCGAACAAACGCCGTGCCGATCGAATTTCAACCTGGGTCGGACAAGAGACACACGCGGGGGGCTCAGAACAGGAATGTTGGCAAGTCAGCTCGAGATGGAAGCAAGCCGGCTACATCCTCGCCGCTATCGGTGACGCAGTCACGCGCCGACGTCAGTGGGAAACTGGGTGGAAAGGCCACTGCCAATGGATCACCCAGAGCGCCGTCGCGCGCGGCAGCCAACAAGCCGCAGCGTATCTCACAGACTCCAGCACCAAAACCAAGTCATTCGCGCACAAAATCCCGCAGCTCCGCTACCCTTCCTCGCCCGTCTGGTGCCAATGGCACCAGTTCTCGCTCGCTTCGCGATCGCCCATCCCTTTCGAATCTATCACATGAGGTCAATGGAGCTTCAGATGATGCCAATATGGATGACAGGGGACCCGTACAAGGATCATTGAAAATTCCAAAATTGCGCATTAAATTGAGCAAGCCTGTCCTTCCTATTCGACACCCCGGCCATATACCGCAGAAGAAACACTCGTCTTTCAGAGACTGGGTCTATCAAAACGATAGCTCAAATATATTGTCAGAGGATGAGGCCGCGATAGAGGCGCGCAAACGGCATGAAGTGATGGCTGCCGCTGAGCCCGGAGGACCGTTGAGTTCGCAAGTCTGCTCGGCATATATCACAGAACAGCAAGAGGAACCTCCCCCACAGTACTCGCACCAGGATCACTTGGTTGCCCACGCGCTCTATTTCCAGAAGCTCCTCGACAAGGAACACAAACGCCACCGACAAACAGCCAAACTGTTTGCGCAATGGTGTGCTGACGCTTATCGAAAACGCCACAAGAACCCCGAAGATATTCTACGTGAGCAGCAGGAGGAGATGCGTGGGAAACGCAAGCAGCTAGCAAAGGATCTTCAGAAAATGTTCGACCTGACCCGTGCCGATATTGATCGGGTCCGCCTAGCACGTTGGGAAGAAGAGCGGAAAATGGAAGACCAGCAGGCTCTCGATCGCGCTATTAAAAAGTCTACTATGCTCTTCGAGAAGCGTCGATCGGAGATTTTGGGCGAATCGCCTAGCGATGTTCCGTTGACGAGTGACGATGAGGGTGGCGTATCAGGCTTCTCGTCTGGCCTAGGCGAAGAAGACGAGAGCAACATGTCAGATTCTGAATCCGGAACCGATGACGAGGCCAATGTGGACGATGATGCCACATTGACCGCAGAAGAGCTCCGGCTGAAGTACGCCAACTTACCGGCTGAGGACTACACCGACCGGATGTCTATAGCCTCAGGCAGCACGGCAATGACTAACCCCAACGAATCTTTGGATCCTGAAGCTGCTTTAGATGGCCTCGATTCAGACGCCGCCCGCGAAGATAATCAGTTGGACGACGTCGATTCAGTGCTGATGGATGATAGTGATGCCTCCACAGACATGGACGATGATATGGGTGATAGTGACGAAGAGGAAGAAAACTTAAGTGAGGAGGAGTCGGACGAGGATGATGAGACGAGACCTGGCCTGCTGGGTTTCTTCTCAAAGAATGAAACGCCTGTACCAAAAGATGGCGACGAGGGCGATAAAGCTTCAGCTGCGGACCACGAACACATCGATATCAAGTCGGTATCGGAGGGTGAAGATGACATTGATTTCGAAGATCAAGATGAAGTATCCCTAGTTCCAATTGGACCAACGGCCAGCGACGGCACTTCAACAGAAGGCACGCCCTTACATATCGTCAATGCTTCTGAAGCCTCTCCTGCTACTGGAGGAGAAACACCCGTCGTTGACACTGTGATGGAAGAGGAGCTCGCCAAAGCCGAAGCCAAAGCTGAGGATGCAGCTACTGCTGGTGTTGTACATGACATTGACCAAATCCACGAGTTGGGGTCCGCCAAACCAGAGACCGAGGAGACAACTCCCGCGCACATCACAGATGATATTGAACACCCTCGACTTATGGAAGTAGATCATGTTCATGCCAGCCGACCAAGCGGGGATCTATCCAGCGAGCCGTCGCCGGGGACTTTTGCAAGCAAGCCATCCGAGCCTGATTCAGTCTCGTCGCTCGAGCCTTCGATCGAAAAGGCATTGCAAATAAGTCACTCGCCTGCCCCAGGTCTACAGACACCCATTCCACACATCCTTCGTGGTACACTACGTGAATATCAACACTACGGGCTGGATTGGCTTGCGGGTCTCTACAACAACCACATCAATGGTATCCTGGCAGATGAGATGGGTCTGGGCAAAACGATTCAAACCATTGCTCTTCTTGCCCACCTTGCCGTGGACCATGGTATCTGGGGCCCGCACTTGGTAGTCGTTCCCACTAGTGTTATGCTCAACTGGGAAATGGAGTTCAAGAAATGGTGCCCGGGGTTTAAGATCATGACTTACTATGGTAACCAAGAAGAACGTAAACAAAAACGCCGAGGCTGGACAGATGACAATGCCTGGAACGTCTTGATTACATCGTACCAACTCGTTCTGCAGGACCAAATGTCTCTCAAGCGAAAGGACTGGCACTACATGATTCTCGATGAAGCACACAACATCAAGAACTTCCGCTCACAGAGGTGGCAAGCCCTTCTTACGTTCAAGTCCCGTGCTAGGCTGCTCCTGACGGGTACACCACTCCAGAATAACCTCACGGAACTGTGGTCTCTTCTGTTCTTCTTGATGCCTTCGGATGGTACCAATGGTGGTGTCGACGGGTTTGCTGATTTGAAGGATTTCTCTGAATGGTTCAGGCGCCCTGTTGAACAAATCTTGGAGCACGGCAGGGAGACTATGGACGAGGAGGCCAAGGGCGTGGTTACCAAACTTCACACCGTCCTCCGCCCGTACCTTCTTCGTCGACTGAAGGCCGATGTCGAAAAGCAAATGCCTGGCAAGTACGAACATGTGGTCTACTGCAGGTTATCAAAGCGTCAGCGATACCTTTACGACGGCTTCATGTCGATGGCCCAGACGAAGGAGACGCTCGCATCCGGAAATTTCCTCTCCATCATCCACTGTCTGATGCAACTCCGTAAAGTGTGCAATCACCCGGATCTCTTTGAAACCCGACCCATCTCCACCTCCTTTGCGATGCCGCGGTCTGTGGCTATGGACTTTAATATCAAGGAATCCCTCGTTCGACGACGACTCCTCTTTGAACACCCACTCACCAAGATCGACTTGGATTTCCTCAACCTCGCCCCCATATCACGGGAAGACATCTCACGACGGCTGGCCGACGACAGTATCCGGCTGATGGCTATTGGCCCGTTCAAGACTCTCCGAGAACGCCAGTACAACCGAACCAACTGGGAGATGGGCTTTGACGGGTCCAACATGCAGACCATCTTAGAGTCATTGGAGAACGCCTGTCGGAAGAGGCGAATGGCGGAATTAGAGCGGTGTCTCTACTTCGAATCCAAGCGGCATGGCCGTCGGCCGGTATACGGTAGCAGCCTTATCGAATTCCTCCGGGCTGGCACCAAGGAACACGCGCTATCCAATGCACCCCTGCGGAAGCGCTCAATGGCCGACTGGTTGTCAAGTCGGTCTTCCGTCCTCGCATCGATGATTCTGACCGTTGAGGAACGGGCTCTTGAGATGCATGGCTATGTCCAAAGATTCGCCTGCGTCACCCCCGCTGCCGTGGCCGCGGGCATGAGCGAAGCGGCCTTGACTCCCGTCGAGACCCGGCTTTTGACGAATAATCGCCCAAACCCGCCATACGATCCTTTCCACGAAGCACGGATGCGGCTCTCTATTGCGTTCCCGGATAAGAGATTACTTCAATACGATTGCGGCAAACTGCAGCGCCTCGACAAACTCCTACGTGACCTCAAAGCCGGCGGTCATCGAGCCTTGATCTTCACTCAGATGACCAAGATGCTTGATATCCTCGAACAGTTCCTCAATATCCATGGTCATCGCTATCTCCGACTCGACGGAACTACGAAAGTCGAGTCCCGACAGATGCTGACGGAACGATTCAATAGCGATCCCCGCATCCTTGCTTTCATCCTATCGAGTCGATCCGGTGGTCTCGGTATCAATCTTACGGGCGCCGACACGGTCATTTTCTACGATCTAGACTGGAACCCAGCTATGGACAAGCAATGCCAGGATCGCTGCCATCGCATCGGTCAAACACGCGATGTCCACATCTACCGCTTCGTATCCGAGTATACCATTGAATCCAACATCCTCCGCAAGGCCAACCAGAAGCGCATGCTCGACGATGTCATCATCCAAGAAGGCGAGTTCACCACAGACTACTTCACCAAGCTGGATGCGCAAGGGATAGCCGAACCCGACGAGCGCGACGGCCAAGACGAAGCAAGTGCCGCCATGGACCGAGTCCTCGGCACCCGCGTCGGCGGAACCCGTGTCTTCGAAGCAGCCGAGGACAAGGAGGATCTGGATGCAGCGAAGAACGCGCAGAAAGAACAGGAGCACGCCGACGATGGCGACTTCGAGGAGCAGAGCGCTTCGCACGGAACACCTGCCCAGGTCGGAACGCCGTTGGCCGTGGAAGACGGGGCTGGCGCGGTCCCACTGCAGGTGTCTGGTGACCAGCCCGATGGAGAATTGCAGCCGGGTCACATCGACGACTATCTCTTGCGCTTCATGGAGTGGAACATGAGGGATGAACCCCTGGTCCTGCCGGCGGATAAGAGCAAGAAGAAGTCCAAGAAGGGCAAGGAGCATCATCTCAAGAGGCGTCGTTAGAGCAATTGTGAGATCAATGTTGAGTTGCCTCCTTTTGACTCCACTCCGACCGTTTCACGTTTCAATAATCCCCTCACGTTAAGTTTTCTTGTAATAGTCTGTGTATAATCCAGGCGTTGGAGATGTTATAATGTTTTTGACTTCTTTTCTCTTCTGGTTAGCTGTCTTTATTCATTACTTTTTACTTTTCTTTTGCTCTACTCTTTTTTTTCCTGTTCCTATCTGTGTTAATCCTATATTAACAAAAAGACCCAATAGAATCAATTAGCAGAAATAAATGTTAACAATTTATTTTCAAATCAATAGTCTATTTTCCGGAGATTATACTTAACTAGACAAGTGGATCGGAATCCATCAGCATAGGCAGATCATTCTCCAACCGAACGTAGACCCTTGGATCTGGGAGACTATTGGAGTTTAGCTCGGTGTTTATATTAATATCAATAGTGTGAAATCGGGGAATTGTCTATTAGGAAAAGGGGATGCTACATCGTATACGGAGTACTTCGCACATAGTAGTGAATATGGTCTCTATATTGTACTTTAGGGGAATATCTGAGTGTACATCGACGTGTATGAATGTACAATATACTATATATGCATCTAGCAAGCTATCAAGTTGAGAACAAAAGGATCTCGGCTTTCCCCCTTTTCTCCTGATATCTTCAAATTCTCCAATGAGGACCCATGGCTCGGTCGGCCGCAAAGCCAAGTCAAACCTACGTCGGCAAGTCTTCTCCGAATATTAAAAGACGACCGCGTGGTTGAACCAGTGGAGCTCGACTCAGGAGGGGGTGGAGCCTCATTCTGCAGTGTTGGCTATATACGACTCGGATACGGCATATCTTTTTGCACATGATCGCAAGGGAGGCGAAAGAGTGGGGAGATATTGAGCATGTTGCCGAGTAATTCCCGATTTGAACGTTGATTTGACGTGATTTGAGCTGTTGGAGTCAGGGTCCACTGATCTTCTCTCCAAAAGTCCCGCGAACTCGGATATGAGGGAATTGGAAACTGGTAGGGCTCTCTCGGATACACTCCGGACTTCATTAAGCTTTGGAAAGGGACTCCTTTAAAGAGATCCATGGTGATCCGGGGATCTCGCTACGATTTATAAAGATAGATGGCATTTCTCCATTGGACCGAGAAGAAAGAAGAAAAGTAAAAAAAAAGCAGAAAAGAGAGGATGAAAATATGCCGTGCCTTTCCCAGAACTGATATTTCAAATAACCCTTTTCGTTGTAACGGTTGTAAGCACAAGCACATCAAAGAAGTGATCACCCTCGGAGGCGCGCGGGTGAGCAAATGCCGATGCGCTATGTGTTGGATCTGGTTTTATTGCCTCTTTTCGGAAACCGTTGAATAAATCCTAAAACAAAGGGATAAAGTGTGTCCCATATCCAGGGGACAAGACTCGGCATTTCTCCAGACTCTCATTCCCGAGGTGGCGATGGGGATAAGAAATTCCCACCCATGGATGAAGGTCTTCAGGTTTTAGAAGATATGGGGATATCCAAATGCACTTCAAGAGATGTGACATATGTAGGTCGAAGTGATTGGCACAAGGGCGCTTTGCATGCAGTGTCGGGCCGTACTGGCCTTTTTTGCCTTTTTTGACTTTCTCATATTCTCTCATGTCTCTCGATTAGAGGTAATGGTGCTATCAGAGACCCCGTCTAGGGGAGCGAGTTAAGATGTCAAGAGTCCAATAAATCCACTATTGAGGACCCGGGCAGACCTGCGCAGATCGTCGCCGATCAATTCGCCAGATCGATTGGCACTCGCACGAACTGGTACTCCACGGGCGTCGCATCATTGGTGTAAGCCGAGAGGGGGCTTTGCACTAGTTCTGACACCATATGCCTTAGCGGGCTCACCTCCAGCCGTAAAGGTAAAGGACACTGGTGCCTTGGTCTGGGAGAGGCACCGGCAAATCGGCCCCCCCCAATAGTGTTGGATCTGAACACATGATGACCCTCGGAATTGAATTTGCACATGCTTCCAACGTCTCAAGGTTTCCCCATTTATAGCTTCGGATTTTCTCAACTCTGTTTTTGGATAGACGTCCGATGCAGAACCGTCGGAACCGTCAGTACCGTCCGAACTGAGGATCCCGAGGTGGCGGTGATCGGCGACCATGAGGTCCCAAGACGCCAGACCGCGGGTGAGAGGAGGGCTTATCTGGTTTGGAGTATGACCAGTATTGGGATAAAAATGGGTCCCGGCTAGCAATGCACAGTAAATCACTCCTGGGGAACTTTAGCCCGTCTTCGCGCCGTTGCGTTGGGACTTGCTCCGATTTTCGCCGGACATGATCGGGTCAAGTGAATTAACGTAGGTCATGGATCTGAATGTCTTCTCGACAGGTCGAATGTTGGAAGAAAGGAAAAAACACCAGTCAAACTCCGTACACTGTAGAGACCGAGGTGATCAATCCAATCCAATATCCACTTTGTTAAAACGCGCCAAGCACTCAACTGGGGATAGTAAGACCTCGCAGAGCTGTTCCGCTTGGACGAGGTGATCCACTTGGGGTAATGACATCGCAGCCCTGAGGATCGTCGAGACCCGTAACCAATGAAGGTCTCCCTGCGAATCTCGTTGATGATCGCCGCGTGCTGGAAGCCACAGACGCTAAGATCCAATGGATCCTCGAGGAGGGACAGATTGTGTGTTATAGGGTTCCATAATGACAGAACCAAGACAATGGAGATGTGGAGGTGAGAGGTGAGAAGGAAGTGGGTAAAGTTGGGGAGATGCTTGTGGCCCTAACAAACCACTCACGTATTCTTTTTATATTTTATTTTTATTTCTCCTAACCTATTTCCCCATTTCTACATATAATAGTCGTTGTCTCGCCCGTTTCCTGTCTCTTTTTTGTTGATCATCTTGATCTTCGTACTATTTCCCCTTGCCACTCCCCTGGACTGTGCGCCAATAATGAAGACTTCCATCTCCTCCGATGTATGGGAGAAGAAGAAGGCGTTGATCTCCAAGTTGTATATGGAAGATGAATGGCCCTTGAAGCAGGTCATCAAGCAGATACGTACCGATGATTTCAATCCTAGGTGAGTACATTAATGTCCATTCTATATCCGATACCGGACTCTATCATGGACTATGGACTAACACCTCCAGTGAAACCCAATTACGAAGTAGACTGAAGAAATGGCGAGTGACCAAGCCATCCCGTCAGACTCGAAAGAAGAGTCTGGCTTCAGCCTCTGGAGAAGAACAAGACTCAGACAAGGATGCGAAGCGCAAAGCATCCATCCAAAGACCACTGCCATCATTACCAAGGGAAACACCAACAGCCCATGAATGGCCCATGACACAACCCATCTATGGACAACCGTCCACCCTCCAACACCCCGTCCCAGACCAGGACCGGAAATGGAGCTCTCCTATGATCCAACAACTCACCCCAAGCCCCTCCGGCGAGCACATCCTCATCCCAGACCGCACAACAGCCGTCTCTTACCCAGACCCCAGTCCAACAACAACATCCTTCGACCACGCCACCTCCCCAATCGGGGAGGGTCTCATGCTGAACATAACCTCCGCCGTGGCCCCGTCCTACCCAACATACCCACTCTCACCCGAATCGTGCCTCCCAAGTCCAGACACGGCAACGACGCCCGGCGGCATTGGCTGGCCGCCCCGCGCCGTCTCAGTAGACTACGGCCTCAACCCCTCCCAGTGGTACTCCATGCCCTTTGAAGCCATCACTCCCCCAGCCGTCCCTCAGTCCACGGCTGCTCCCATGGCACCTTCAGTCAACGGCTACCTCTCCCAAGGCCAGCTCTACCATCCCCAGTACCACCACTACCAGGCAGAGTACCCTCATGGCTATGATGCCAAGAGCTGGAAGCGCGCTATGTCATTACAGTATGATCTGGCCGGTCATCCGGCTGCCAGGCCCGAACACGATAGGAAGCAGATGCTCCCGCATACACAGCCTCATGGCCAGTCGCATCCTATGGCGTCGCCGTCGCATACCCAGCCCGCTGGGCCTCATTCGGTCATGTGTGCTCCGATCATGCCTTATATGGGCCATGACCATTATGTGCAGAAGCCTCCGGGCATTGGATACTAGGTGGTACTTGTACTGACACTCTGTTAAATATGTGATACCTTGATACCTTTTTTTGTGAAATATGGGTGGTTTGTTTGTTTTGTCATACCCGATATGTTTGGTTTTGGGGAGTTTGGATGAAAAGGAAACTGTATATATTGATACCTATTGATTAATTGAGCTTGATACATCTATGATATGTACACTATACTATGTTCACCTATACTATGTATATCTATACTATATACCCATGGACATATATCAGACGTACTCTGTACAAAGAGAGCCCTGGAGGGACTTCTATAGATGCCAAGACCTGTGAGCTACCCGAAAAGGAACCTCGGCATCTTGCGGGGAAGCCCCCATCTCTCGGCCCTTCCAGAGCTCTTTTTATTTGGATCCTTGTCACTTCAATCTCTTCACGCAAAAAGTTCAGAATATCATCTCAATCCCAATCTATATCCTCGCCGCCAAAATGCGTGCCGTCCAAGTCAGCGAATACGTCAAAGTACCTACAACCAACCCCAACCCCAACCCGAACCCAAACCCAAACTAACCACTCCTACAGGGTCCCCTCGACCTCAAAGTAACGACAGTCCCAACCCCAACCCCAACAGCGGACAAATACCTAATCGAAATCCACTCCGCCGGCACGAACTTCTTCGACATCCTCCAAATCCAAGGCAAATACCAGCACCAACCGCCACTCCCTTGGATCGGCGGCGCCGAATTCGCCGGCACAGTAACCGCCGTGCCGACCTCCACAAACAACCGCTTCAAACTCGGTGACCGCGTCTTCGGCGCTACACAGGGCGCCTACGCAACACATGTCCTAGCCGCAGAGCAAACCCTCCTCCCCGTGCCGGAGGGATGGAGCTTCGAAGACGCGGCGGGGCTGTTCGTCACGGCACCGACCTCGTATGGCGGTCTTGTTCAGCGCGCTGGCGTCAAAGCCGGGGACTGGGTCCTTGTTCATGCCGCAGCGGGCGGGGTCGGACTTGCTGCTGTGCAGGTTGCCAAGGCTATGGGTGCGACTGTTATTGCTACAGCTGGAACGGAGCGGAAGAGGGAGATTGCTAAGGTTTTCGGGGCGGATTATGTGGTTGATTACAGCGATAAGGCGTGGCCGGAGATTGTGAAGGGGATTTGTAAGGAGAAGAGGAAGGGGAATGGGGCTGCTGGGGTGGATATTGTTTATGATCCTGTTGGGATGATTGATGCGAGTTTGAAATGTGTGGCGTGGAATGCGCGGTTGTTGGTTATTGGGTTTGCGGCGGGGAAGATTGAGAAGGTTGCACTTAATCGGGTGCTGTTGAAGAATGTGAGTATTGTTGGCTTGCATTGGGGGCAGTATGCCAAGTTTGAGACGGAGACTGTTGGTGAGGTTTGGCAGGGGATCTTTGACCTTGTTAGGCAGGGGAAGTTCAAGGGCACTGCGTTCAAGGATGAGAGCTTCGTTGGGTTGGAGACTGTGCCCAGGGCTTTGCAGGCGTTGGGCGGGAGGGAGACTTGGGGGAAAGTTGTTGTGAATATTCTTGGTGACGCGAAGAGCAAGCTGTAGTCTTGAGAACCCAAGACCACTGTGGATAGCTACGTGGGAAAGCAATAGATTCGATTCGATACTAAACTGATAAATGTAGATGCGCAAGGAGTCATGCTCTCGTAGACAAAGTGAAATCCCCGAAGGGAAGACTCGAGCAAGTATAACATGAACTATGAAGGCTCTTTGCTCTGGCAACTTTTGTATTTCAAATGAGCGTGAGCACCCGAAGGTACCCAGCTCGCAATCCAGCTCCAGTCGGTCACGGCTACAAGACGTAGCGCTGCGGTGACTGTTCTCCAAAAGGAGAGCCCTTGAGCATGTCCAAATGGACTGGGGCAGCTGCATTGAGGAGTTGCGGATGACAGAACGTGTCTAGGGTGTGATATGTACCTGGGATTTGTCAGTGTAGAGGTCTTGATAGACACCGTAAATCAGAATAACATTGAATTCCGAGGAATGGATTGAGTGTCCAGAGAGTGTCTAGAGGAGTTGGCGAAAAAGTGAAGAAAAAACCTTGGAATGGGGAAAATAAAGTACGATGACTCAGCATATATATACCGCCCAGTTTCTGCCACTTGGAGGATACCTACATGTGTAGTAAAGTATGTCGGATTGTGATAAAACACTAAAAGACCTCAAAAGTCTCTTACAAATTGCGTGTTTAAGAGTTGATACGCGAAGAAAACCCGGGTCCTCCCGCATTTTTGTCTGGAAATTAAGGATGGCGTAATAAGCAAGGTAACTAAAACTACCTCTCCCAAGGCAAACACCGGTGGCCTGTGTCAACAGATATCTTAATTCTTCCCAATCCATGCTCTTAGGCAATACATGGACCGGCTTGACGTCTTTATTGATGTGAAGCCCGAGGGCAAGGCAAAATTTTTTGCTAGGGAATATATAGTGGGAATAGCTTCATCTTCTTTCCTATTCTAAATACGACCACACTCCTATAGTCGTTCGCATCCTTTTGGTGTCCTCTTTGGTTGTCTTTCTCCTCATCTTAGTGTTGTAGCGGGCTGTTGGACCTTACGTACGTACCTATATGCCTAGAACTTAATAGAGAATATACCGGGTATAGAGGACGAAATGTATGTATGTAGTACTATGCCCAGGTATATAGAGACACGAGGTAACGATCAGGAAATAGTACCTATCTTCCGTGTAAGTGCGAAGGGCGGTTTGGAAAGGCATTGTAGAAGGTTGCGCCAAGCATTTCTAAGGCTGGGCAAGGATGAGCAAGGCGAAAAAGAAGGAAGGAAGGAAGAGACTGCTTTCTAAAGGAACTGCATGTATAAATTGGGCAGGTGACATGTGGCATTGAGAGGGAAGGTGCAAAGAAGGTGCCAACTTTAGGAAGGTACGTGTTGTTGGGGGTATAGAAGGACATTTCTTCCTCTTCTCTTCTTCTCTTACTCTCAGCCCTCTCGACCAGGATCTCTCTGTAACCCTTATCCATGGATGAGATACCATAGGCGAGGTGAAGGTGCATCACCTATACATAAGACATCAGCATTACCAAGGTTGTTGAGGTCCGTATAGATCCATACCCAAATCAAACTGGGCTTTCTCGTGGAATTTCTTTCACGAAGTCGTGGCTGAGCCTTTAGTCTAGTATCTCTATAGCCACCTTGACGAGTCCCACGGAATACATGGGGGTGTTTAATCACACACTCTTTCAGCATGAAGCTAGTCACCTAGGTAATCGAATACATTTACTGTCGAAGACGTGTAGGCCTGACTTATGTATGGACCACTCAGCTCCAGTCAAAGCTTGGGCACGATCATGACATGATGTTAGAAGCTACAGAAGTCACACGCAAGCAGCCTTAGGCCAATGCGGCAGTGGTTAATCCATATCCAATAGAGTCAAGTTGCACTTCCTCCTCGGGATACCGTGGAATAAGGGATAACACTATTTCATTGAAATCAATGAAAAACGGCTGAGTTGACAACGCCGCGCTTTCGAAGACGGGAGGATATGCACCAGAATATGCCCAGTCAATCAACCACACTCGTTCATGCTGATCTAAGATCAGGTTTCGAGGACTGATATCGTGGTGCGTAAGGACAAACTTGGTAAAATGGAATGGTGGTGTATCTTTTGGAGCTTGGTGGACGCTCTTGCAGATATCAAGTTTGTGGTTAAACCACGCTTCCATTTCAGCTGTGTCCATAAAAGGCCCGGCACTATAATCTGTAAAGAACCGACCCCTGCATGGCCCTCCACCAATAGGACCAGGCTGTAAAAGCACAATGGACTGCATCTCTTTAATCATTTCAGCGATCTGCGAAGCGATTTTCCCTTGTGTACTAAGTGATAGGCCGTCCCAGCATTCATCCAGATGTTGGCCTTGGATGAAATCCATCACAATATACCCAGATGTGCCAAAATATTGCGTGTCGTCTTTGACCTGAAATGATCGATGGACTCGTGGGACTCGGATGCTGGCTCTGGAAGCAATAAGACTGAGCATTTTCGCTTCACTAGCCAGGACACTTCCACCACCCTTCATGATCAACTTCTCTGAAAGCCGCACTACTGTTGTCCCACCTAGCTGATGAATAATAGGAGCAGATGTGAGAAGGGCTGCCAGAGCCTCATCTGTGATGGAGTTCAGATCCTTTTCACATAATGGGAAGATTCCATCAGGGTCACGACTTTTTGGCTTGGCGTTGTTATGTCAGTGAATGTTACTTGAGCGCGTCAGGATTAAACGTACATCGGTGATTGGGCGCATGCATGGTTCCATTTCAGTGAGATGCATGGCAATAAATGTGTGAAAAAAAAGAACTATCAGAAAGCCGGGAGAAGAGAGAGCAATACGACCGTATTCTGTATCTAGAGACTCCCACTTGTGCGGGGGAAAAGAAGAAGAGGGAGATGAGACTAGCTACTGGAAGCCAGGGCAAACTGGATTGACTAAGTCAGGTCATTCCAACAAGAACCCCTCCCCATCTCGGAAGGCTGGCAGAATTACAGTGGACATCCATGGATAAGTTTCTACCCTGTCTGGCCCCCCGGGGCCACACCCTCTGATTATATAATACACAGCAAAGTCAAAAACCTCTATCAATCCATAGTATGGAATCTAGTATGGTGTATACCACCCCTGACTCTCAATAATAGCTTCTACTGGGCGCGGCATCGTCTCAGAGAGATGCTCTATCCTAGGTCTATGTAGTGTACTGTTTTAGCGTGGTTCGATACTACCATTTTGGGTAGGCGGTATAAGTCTCCAGTGGTGGTGAGGTAGAAACTTATGTCCAGTCACTGTACGTCTTGACTTGGTAAAACACTAATTGTGTGTCCAAGAGTTGATGCGCGAAGAAAACCGGGGTTCTCCCGCATTTTTGCCTGGAAATTAAGCCATTCTCGAATACAACTTCGAAGGAATCTTTGGTCTTTCGTGCGCTAGATTCAATACCCTCCACGTCGGTGTAGTACCCCATCCGTAAGAATTCTGTCAATGTAGATCTCGCTGATCTTTTAGATAAATTACAGGCTCTCATTAATGGTATATGCAATACGCCCCGCTCGCAAGCATGAAACTTCTTACACATGCTAGCCTCCGTCGCTTTTTATCTCTCCCTCATCTCTGCGTTCTTTTGTTCCATAGATGTTTCCCTTTCCAACATCATCGTCCAGCCATTCTATTGCAGCCCTGACTATGTTGAAAATCCGTGCGACCGACGGTGACCGTGTTCTAGACGATCCGTCTGAGGAACAGCTCCACGACTTGCTCGCGGACATGAACCTATCGTGCAATATTGTCATCGTGGAGCGGCTGGGCTCTAACCCCGGTTCTGACCATGACGACTTCATCCAGGTGGTGTTGAATGCGGATCCAGACCACGGGAGCTATCAGGTGGAATACCGCGAAGGCGGTCCATCCGCACATTTTCAAACGACAGTACTACGCGACTCAGACTGGGATAGTATCCTCGACTACGGTTTCGAACAAGTTGCGCGGGTCGTCTGTGACTGGGCCGCCAACAATCAAGCCTGGCGCACGGCGTTGCCCTGGAAAGCGCTAGACCTCAGCAGGATACAGCAACCCTATTAGCTGCTGATAGCTATCCTTATCTAGGAACCGAGGACGACGCTGTAACTTCTCTCACAGTAGAAACAGCTTCATCCCTCAGAATACAACGTGCAGTATTCGAATTTGGATGTTGTAAGAAGTGGTTCGAGATGAATGTAGTATAACAATGACCCATCAATATCAGTACAAAGTCCCGTTTTGATTCAAACACATTTGATTCAATTAATCTATGGGAAGCTGTCTGTAAGATAGCCCAAAGATAGTAGCCATCAAGGACTTCCATGGATAGGTGCAGACGCAGATGCAGAAATCTCAAACAAGAGAATGGAACTGAGAAGAGAGGAAAAAATCATAACATCATGGTAATCGTTCATTTCATAATAGCTTTCAAATGTTTTTAATAAGTGTCATCAACGTGAACCCCATCACACTCAATGATGCCGCTCACGCATCTCAACAACAGTAGTCCAGCCCTCACAGCAAGATCGGCTTATATTATGTCCACACCAGCAGCAGGTCACCTTGCGAGGTAGAAGTGGCGCTGGCCGTAGATCGGACATGCCCTGGGTAGCATGGGGAGCTGGGAATTGACCGAATGGCAGAGATCGTGAACTTATCAGCTTGCGCGTACCGGTGTCGGGCTGTTTCTTGGAACTGGATCTGCCCAGCTTGAAATCCGAGCCTAGACGCTCGGGACAGGCGAGACGCGCGTAGACTTCGGAGGGTAGATCGTGCCAGTACTTGCAGCGGCAGCAGATTACGAAGAGCTTGGCGATGGTTTGCGGGCTGCGGGCTTCTTTCGCTTTTTGAGATCTTCTTTTGAGGATGCTCATGGGTCCTGGTCGGGTCTGGGGGCTGCCAGTTTGGGTACCTGGTTGGGCACTGGGCTGCATGCCGGGAGCAAGGTCGGGCTGAGTGCCAGGTTGAGGGCTGCGCTGTATGCCGCGATAGGCATCGGGGTGAGAGCCAGGCTGCTGGATAGGGTGCGTGCCAGGTTGGTCGCCAGGGTGAGCGCCGGGTTGGGTGCTGGCTTGTGTGCTGGCTTGAATGCTAGGCTGGACACCGGGTTGAATAACAGGTTGGATGTCTGGCTGTGAGCTGGGTTCAATGAGTGGACTGACTGGAGACTCCTGTGCAGTCGGCGCTTCAACAGCAGAAATCGCGGGACTGGTATCCACGCGAGTCAGCGAGTCGCGTTTGAATCCAGGGGATTCAGGTGTATCTTCGTCAGCAGTGTCATAATTTGAATGATTGTCGTTGGAGGAGCTGTGTGAAGGAGTGCGGCTATGGCCCGGTATGAAACCACCAGGTCCTCCAACAGAAAGGATATTCCCTGCGAGTTCGGCGGAAGTACGAGAAGATCGACCGGGAGATCTCGCGGGAACAGTGTAAGTGCCATCCGACAGGTCTTTCGATGTTCGGCTGTTTCTCTCGTCGGGCGAAACACTTCCTGTATGGAATGGAGATCTGACTGCTACCTGGAAAGGAGACACCGGGATTTCTCTAAGCGTATCAGTTGACGTGGTTGGCATTCTTCGAATCTCGAGACTCCGTCTTTCGCTCTTGACGGGGATCTGTGGCTGTTCGATCGACTGCGTGGTCTCTTGGAAGTTTTCCTTGAAACGACTCGAGGTTCGTTTGGGGGCATGCGACGAAGCGATAGGCAACCGGCTTCTTCCTCGATCCTCGAGATGAGGTTGAGCGGGGGAGTGTGATGCCTGGGATGGGGTTTCATGATTAAGGTTTTGTGTTGTCGGTGGGCTTGGAATCCTGGAATCATTCTGGGACGATTCATCCGTATTTGCAGGATTCAGGGCGAGGGGAGACGACTTGTAGGTTCGTGGGAAGGGATCCACTCGGTTCTTCCTGGCAAGGTTTCCCGTGGAATTTGTTTGTGCCGGGTTAAATGGTTGGTAAGACCTGGCACTGGATGGACTTGATGAATTGTCTGGAGATTCTGGAGGTGTCATCTCCTGCAACTGACGAGCCGTGGTAACTTGGGTAGGCGAATCAGGATGGCCGGGTGAATAGAAGTTAAGCTGTCTCAAGCTTTGCGAGATTGGCATGCTAGTAGCCCTGGCAGAACGAGCGAGACGATCAATGGGATGATCCGCCGCGGGCACACTCTTCCTGTCATGTTTCAAAGCTGCGGAAAACAACTCCCTATCCAGATCGCCCGAGGATGCTAGTGTCACGCCGTTTCGAGCACCGTTTCCAATCACGGGCCGACTACCGATGGGAATCTGCTCCGACACTGACCGATTAGACTCACGGCCGTCCTTTGTCTTCCATGCTTCAGCCATCCTCCAGTTCTCACGAAGATCATCAGACTTTGCCGAGGCGTGCAAACGGTTGTGCTGGGTTGGTTTGGGCGTTTTAGAAGCGGATAGATTCAGTGCGGTGCCATGCTTGGACTGTAGCTCTCGGGTGATAGCCGTTCCAAACCTTTCCGGTAGAGTCAAAGGCAGAGAAGGTGGGTTCGTATCTGTCCTGAGCTGGCTAAACTCGGCAGACGGAAAGTCTTGCTCACTCGAATTTGAATTCCGGCGCGATCGTCGGAATATCGAGGACAGGCCACTTGACGATCTCGGACGCTCTGCATTTACACTAGAGCTTCTGCTTGAGCTGCCCACGGGTTGTTTCTTGGTCAGTCGGCGAGAGGATCTTTCATGGTCGGCCTTGGATTGAGCGTCCTCAAGTGCTAGCAAGCGCTTCTCTAGTTCCTTTCTCTCGGCTTCCAGGCGCTTTGTGACACGCTTTTCTTTCTTGTTGGGTTTGACCCAGGTTGGCGGTTTGCAAAGATTGTCACCATCTCCGTTGGGACGGGTAGCCAAGGCCGTCATTTGTTGGGTCGGAGTATCGTCCTGCACAGGGGGCCCGTTTGTGACTGATAGACTTGAGCCAGGTGTACCGGTAGAGGGCAAACGAGAGTTGGAGGAGTAAGAGAGCGAGCTGAGCCCTGTCTCATCGTACAAGGAGTGCTTCGCATAGGAATTATTATCGGTTGTGTCATGTGCGAGAGCTTCGCGAGCAAGAAAGGGAATCGGGGGAACAAATTCGCCATTTTGACTGTGTCGTTTCTTCAAGGGGTCAAATGAAGTTCGTCCATTATTTTTACTGTTACTTACATCGATAGATTTGCTAAAGACGCGGTGGATGTGGTCCGAGATGGATGATCGACGGGCCCTGCGGGGCGGATCGGTGGAGAAGGCCTCCATTGGAGTTGGTAAATTGGTTTAGCGATGAAAATAAGCGAGTGGCATTGAATTGGGAGTAGATCGAGGGATAGAATCGTGAGGCGTGAGGCGTGAGACGCAAGTCAGAGAGACAAAAACGAGAGACAAAGGCCCAAGGCCAAAGGAGAATACAAAACAAAAGAGAAAAGAAAGGAAGAAATTTGCGTTAAACAAGAATCGAAGAAATTCCAAATCTGCAGCTGCAGCTGAAACCTTCCACAGAGCTATTCTTAGGTGTTTTTTTTTTTTTTCTGATCTGTAGATTTATGTACATTTATGAAGAGAATGATCTAAATCCAGAGAAATCGGTTACTTAGTCCAATTCTAAACTCTTCGAATTGTGAAACTGTCAGAATGAGAGAATCCAAGCGTCCGAAGCCCAAAGAAGTCGAAACCCCTCCGCTTGGCATCAAAATCAAAATCTCACCTTTCCATCTCCCCTGACAAAAGAAACAAATACTCAGAGCCTTAAAATGTTAGTTACTCGGTGATACAAAAGCTACAGAGAAAGAGCTACACAATGTCCAACCAACCCCACGACCTCCCGCCAAGTTATGATGCATCACAACAATCCTGGGGGAACTCCGGACCCCCACAGACAGACACTTCAGCCTCCAACCCACCTCCATATCACAACTGGCAAGAAGCAGTCCCAGACACAGCCACATTCCCACCACCCCCAATCACTGGCTATCTAATCTCAGGGACGGGGAACGCCTCCGAGGACGACGCCCAGCGGGCCCACGATTTCTGCGACTCCGTACCCCTGTGGCTCCCAACGCAGCCCTCAATCGCCGTCTACCACGACGTGCAGACCCACGATCTTCGACCCGTGCATCCAGCCGAGCTGCGTGGCCATGTTTCGGCTGTTGCGCGCGGCCGCTGGCGTGGACAGAGCGTCGACGGGAACGGGGATTGTGTCGTTGTTACCCAGCTGCCCATGTACTTCCCTGCTACGGACTCGCCGTTTGTGCGTGAGCAAAAGAAGACGATCTACTTTGAGGTTAAGTTATTGGCGTTGAGGGCGGGGCCGACGCCGCAGGATTCTAGTGGGATTTCGATTGGGTTTGTTGCGCAGCCTTACCCGTCGTGGAGATCGCCTGGTTGGGAGAGGGGTGGGTTGGGGGTGTTTTCGGATGATGGGTGTCGGTTTGTGAATGATTCGTTTGGGGGTCGGGATTTTACGACGGCGTTCAAGGTGGGTGAGACGGTTGGGTTGGGGATGGAGTTTGAGCTGCCGGAGAATATCTGCAGTGGGGATAAGAAGACTAAGAGATGCAAGGTACATATCTTCTTCACGCGGAATGGATGTCGATCTGGGGGCTGGGATCTGCATGAAGAGGTCGATGCGGATTCTGGGGGTGTCGAGGGCTTGGAAGGGGACTATGACCTCTATGGGGCAATTGGCCTGTTTGGTGGCGTCGATTTCGAGTCTCGTTTTGACCCTGCAGGCTGGCTATGGAAGCCGGAATGAACGTGTGATGTCCGCCAAGTAAGGAAGTAAGGAGGGCCACGAGGACCAGGTCATAGGGCTGAACTGTTTTTGCTTTTTCTTTATGGCTCACGGCTTACGGTTCTATGGCTTTGATATGCTTAGCTAGTACAGCTTAACATAATCCAAATTAAATTAGCTTCAACTTGAGTTCAAATCAGAAACGCTAAAAGACGAGCATATCAAAGCCAAGCAAAAGAAGCTAACATGTCCATGCCTACTAATTTGCACGGCCTATTTCAACGGCCCACGCCGAAGCTACATACCCTGCATAGCGTAAATGAGACCCTGCACGTGTGTTCTAGAAAGGTTTTTTTATTTTCATTTATTACCTTTGGTCTTAGTGACTGCAGCGCATTAGGGGCCGGGGGGATGCACGAGGTGCAGTTCCGCTACGACGACCGTCTGATGAGCAGGTGCATCTCTGCCGCTTTTCCGTATGGTCCCCCGTCTATCCCAGCTGCATGAACGGCGGGTAATCGTTTTATTTGACGTCAGGATGCGCCGAGCGCATTGCGATCTTTGTCCTTTTGCATATGTATATTTTGGAATTTGGACAGTGGTTTCGGGAAGTTCTTTCAATGTCGTTCATATCCTATTTGATATTTATGTATATATGTATGATAAGAGCAAAAGTAGATGTAGACAAGCTAGATGGTATAAACGAGCAGAGTACAACCTTGGAAGTGAGGCTGATACTCGAGAGCAATATATGTTGTACATGTTAGGCTTGACCCCGGTACTTTCGTACAAAGAAAGAGTAATGCGCACTGACAGCAATCCGGAGATAAGGCTACGCTCGGTGCTCTTCTAAATAGCCATTTTCGTAAACCACCATGCGTCTATTCATCTAACTTCTCGTATCTGCATATCAATTGACATCCCCGGCGGTTCATAAGACGTGATTAGCATGAAAGAGCCGCAGTGGCCAATCTCGGTCCGAGAGTCGACCTGTGATTTGGAAATCCATCAAATTCAACTGCCCTAGGATAGCCGAGATTATTAGACATATTGTACATGCAAATATCCATGAATGTGTGTATTATTAGCTATAAAAGGAGAAGTCGGCCTTGTGTTCTCCTATGTTCTATGTGAACATGGCAGTAAAATACCCGTATTTGCAATACATATAAAGTCAGTGGGGAACTGAAGTCGGTGATAATCCCGAGACCAGCAGCCACCAAGCCCATATTCCTGCAACTAACCCACCAGAGAGCGGCTAGAATGACACGGATGTTTCCACCTTGGATCAGACCAGTTATACTCCGTACCCCGGTTAAGATCATCCTATTTGCATTAGGACACGGGCTTGATCATATTAGCTCCTATAGCTATTACGTTGACATATTTATTCTTCATATACGTATGATTATATGCTGTGATATGGTGAATCCGGTCTTCATTTTTTTTTCTCTTACTGAGGGGTAAATATGTAGAAGAATCACAATGGGTTTGTGTCCAGACTTGGGTATCTTTGTTCGATCCACTTAAAAAGTTACGAATGCCCCCCCCCCCACAGCCGATCTAAATTTCTGAATAATACTCTGCACCTAAGGTATGATAGAAGAGCTGAGCTAGAGCTCGAAAGGGTAATAGAATATTATCTTGAAACGGGTTTGGCCGAAGGGGAAATTTGGTCTGATCGACTGCATGTCATCGCCCCTTTTTCCCGTGACAGTTCCCGTTTGGCCCCCACCTGGACATTTATTTGATATCCCGGACTGACCTCGGGTCTATGCGTAAAACCCACAACACACACCCCTCTCTTTTTCACAAATCATAATGTTGAAAGTGAAATAGAAATCCGGCCATTCCCGGCTGCCGGTGGGGTTGGAGCGGGTTCAATACACTACTGGGGAGTCCGTGCAGCCGAGATACGCGTTTGTTTCACTCAAGACGTGATCTGGCCACGGCCGGAGACCGTGGCCATTTTGTACCCTCCAAGGTGTCCTTTTCGGCTCGGCCGGGAAAGAAATAGAGAAATAAACGGGGCTAAATGTACAAGGTACGGAATATGCATATGCAGAGAACCCAGATGGAACTGTTGCAGATAAGAAAAGAAAAGAACGGGAAAAAAAGCCAATGAATTGCCACTAGTAGAACCCTGTGAAGGAGAAGAGAGGTCTTGGCCATCTTCCAAAAGTACCAGATTGCGAGTCTGGACGATCACGACCGAAAAGATATCCATATTGGGCCTTCTGCAGATGCATTAATTCCAATCCTCACCGGCCGTGCCCCAATTCCGCTAAGGCTGGAACACCTTTTAGACGCCAAAGCGACACTGGCGCGAAGTCAGCGGTTGTCTCCTGTCTGTGAAAGGACAGAGTTAACCGGGTTGATGATACCAATCATGATTCTGGTCTCGGAGATGTGTCTGAATTGAGCAGAAACTACATGTTAATAGAGTAGTATAAACTAGGATGTATATAGTATTAGTAGTGTATGGGTACTGGGTATTGGATATTCGATTCTTATGCCAATTTGCCAACATGCCAATATGCGCTACAAAACTAATATGTGCACGGTCCAGGTTCCCTTTCGCTTTCACTTTCACATTCCAGTATACCCATGACCGGGGAGATTTACTTTGGAGGCAGCTGGTTGCCCTTCATTAAACGCGCAATCAGGCGACCAGTTTTCGACATGTTCTTTTTCCCTTTATGTTTTTCCCACGTTTTCCCCTACATTTCCTCATATCTTTGCAAAACTTTTAGTAATGTACGGAGTATATAACCTTAGAAAATCACTCCATACCGGGTATTGCCCCACTGTGAAGAAGAGCAACCTGTTACACGGGCACTTCAGCGATCGCCACCAGGATTACCCGTATTTTTTGTGTCTTTTTTCAGTTCGAGGCCTTTTTTACATAGTATTGCTACATGTAATAAGCATTTGGCTCCAAGTTACCCCTAGGCACTTTGTTCCGACCAATATGCACGTTAGTTGCTAATCTGTTAATATTAGTTTGTACGGAAAAAAAGAAATCCAAAAAAAAAGAGTTATTAACCCGAGTACTTTTGGATCTTCGACTCCATTCTGCTGCGGACCACGCTAATTAATACATGGACGTATTGCCTGAAATTCGCAATTGTTCCACAAATCACCTTTTTATCAAAGCTATCATAGAAAGTATCGCACGACATTACGGAACATATAAATAGAGATATCTCAGACCTTTGTCTAGCTATGAGTTCCGGTCATCTCCTGGGCACCAATGAAGGAGTTTTTCGAGTTCCGAGGTGAAGAGCTGCATGGTCGGATATGTTCTCCATTGGAATTGCTTTTTGTGCCTTTTTACCGATATAAAAAGAATATATTGTTGGTACCTGGGGACAAAGTACTTTCGGGTTGCATTGGAAGAACAACACTACCATCTTAATATGCATCCAACCCAAACGGTTGCCTATTATCCACGATCATATATTTTAGATCCTTAAATTTTTACTGTAAAATCACCAAAGGAGTTTAGCATAAGAAAGCAAAAAGAAAAAAAAAATTTTAAAAAAAGAAGAAAGGTACATGCATATGTTCCCCACAGGGTGAGCGATGCTCATCAACAAGCTGAACTTCCATTCAAATCTTTATCACGCTGATATCCATGGGATATTCGTCCACATGATTCAAACCCCATAAAGTATGGATATATTTATATATACAAGGTATGTAAGAAACGTAAAATCAATACTCTGCATGGGCCGCCAGTCCCCCTCTCCACTGGACTAGATCCAGGGTCTCTGACGCACGAGGCAAAAAACTACCACCTGCAGCACACTCAAAACGACAATCAAGACTGGGGCATAGCTTTTTTAGTTCGGCGTTTTTTTTAGTTAGTATTTTCTCTTTAAAATTCATTTTTATATTTTATATTAATATTATTCTATATTATCCTATTTATTTTGTTTAGTTCATCGCATGTGCTGCCTTTCTTCCTACTTTAATCTCTCCCTCCCTTCAATCAAAGTGCTCATCTCTTCTTTTCCCTTTTTTCCCCTATTCTCTTTTCCTTTTGAATTGAAGGAAGCATTGTCTCCTTGACATTCGTTAAGACTTGGATTGACTAAGCCCACAGAGGCAATTGACCACCGAACTTGGTCAATAGGTATAGCGCATTGGATGCTTATACCTCTGCTTTAAAAAGGAAGAGGACCCCCCTCCAAAAATCAGTTAGGGTTACGTGGCGTCGAGTTTTACACCATGGCATTCCCATTTATGCGAGCATTCGTCACACTCTTGTGAGTACATGTTGGGAGCTCAATCCGATCACTAGCTAACAAATACCCCAGTCTCTATCGCTATACCCGACTCGTGTTCAACTTGTTCTCCTTTTGGACATTCAAGCCAATCCCACCACCGGAGAACCCTAAACTGACATCGCAAGATGTGACAGTGATTATTCCATCATTGGATGGGTGCGGCGATGAGCTGGTGGAGACAATCCGGACCATTCTCGACAATCAACCCTTCGAATTGCTCCTGGTAACAATCGAGGCCAATCGTAGCAAGGCCGAGCAGATGCTGAGCGCCATGCCAGCATCAAAATCTCGAATCCGTTTGTTCACAGTCAAGCATCCCAACAAGCGCCGTCAAATGACCAGAGCCATTCCCGAGGTCCGAACTGCCATTACCCTTCTCGCCGATGACGACGTGAGCTGGCCGTGCACTCTCCTCCCCTGGATTCTGGCCCCGTTCGAAAAGGACGAGAAATACGGCGGGGTGGTCACCTGTCAGCGATTGCGCCGGGCGATTGCGCCGAGCCTCTCACAGCGAGTCTGGGGCTTCTTGGGTGCTTTGTACCTGGAACGACGCAACTTCGACTGCGGCGCGACCACCAATGTGGATGGCGGACTTCCCTGCATGTCGGGACGGACGGTTGCGTATCGGACAAGAATTCTACAGAATGAGGCCTTCACCTATGCCTTCACCAATGAGGAGTGGTGGTTCGGGAAGTACCAACTCAACGCTGACGACGATAACTTTATCACCCGTTGGATGGTCTCGCACGGATGGGAAACTTATATGCAGTACCACCCAGAGGCAGAGGTACTGACTACTCTCGAGGACAACCCTCGTTTCCTTTTGCAATGCGCCCGCTGGTCAAGAAGTAATTGGCGGAGCAACCTGACTTCGATGTTTCACGAGAAGCACATCTGGTAGTGAGTGCATCTTTTCTCTTCACTTGAGTTGTCTTACCTTCTTTTCCCCCCTCCATCTCGGTGTCGGCTTTCTCTTTGATCGGTTCAAAAAGAGTCTAGGCATAGGGCCTTGGTGTGACCTGGGGAAACAAAGAAACAAGATTGAAGCAGAATGCAGAACAGAGCTAACATTTTCTATAGTCGTCAGCCCTGGAGCGCTTACGCCGTTCACCTGACCACCTTGTCGCCGCCTGCCTTTTTAGGCGACATTCTACTTGTTTGGCTGTGCCACAAGGCGACTGGATCATGGGGAGAATCATTGCACGATCAATCCATGACTATGCTCTACCTTTGGATCTTCACTAGCAAGTGGATTAAGCTGTTGGGTCATTATCTTCGCTATCCGGTCGATGTGCTGTTGGTACCAGTATCGGTCCTCTTTGGTTATTTCCACGGCGCAATCAAGATGTATGCCGTAATGACATTGAATGTGGTATGTTTAATTCTTTTTTTTCTTTTATCTTTTCATATTTCGCATTTCTTGTTTTTTTTTCCCTCTATTTTTCTTATCTGCATATACGCCGAGTGTATCCAAGCGCAGCCCCTCTCCTATGACAACTCAGCATCACAGCGCTTTGATCATCGTCTCCTCCCGCTTGCAGCTCTCTTTACCCACTATTTTCCTTTTTTCCCGATTATTTTAGATCGCCCAGCTATCTGCCTTTCTGATTTGGACCTTTTGCATGCTTTTTACATACATATGTACATTCAAGAGCTGGACTGACTTTGAGTTTTTCTTTTTGTTCCAGACAACATGGGGTAGCCGTGATGGCGCTGATGATTACGATGCTGAGCGTATGAAGAAGCGGACGGATGCCGATCGAATGAAGCAACCGTACCAACCGTACTACCCGCAATATCTCATCAAATGAGGTCTTCCGATTTTCGAAGATCCATTTCCTGTTCTCGAGGACATTTTCCTCGGGATTGGTTTACCATATCCCTTGGATTGTACTGTGAACAGGGGAGAACTTCTAGCCCATCGACTTGGCTAGCCCTTTATATCATTCATGACGAAACGCCGTGACGACACCCATATGCTCTGCTTTGATTCTAGATCTGCCCTGGTTTTATCCTTTTTCCGAACCTTCTACCCTGGCGATTCTGCCTGTGTCGCCAAGTTGTCGAGAGTGATACGAGCTACGAAGTGGCACTGCTCTCTCCAACGTCAATCCTTATGAGTGTGGCGTCTTTACTTCCTTTGCCCAATGTTTTTCTTTTCTCTGCACATGATTGCCTGGTTATCAAAAACAAAATGGTGGCCAGTCTCGGTTTTACCGAGGCTTTTCCCCCTTCTCTTCTTGTAAATTACAAAAGCATGGGCGGATGTCGTCGTTTTACAATTGTTCTATGCGTGACTCTTTACGTCTCAGTTTGCTTTCAGCTTTGATTCCCCTGGGTTTTGCGTGGGAGATTTTCGTCCCTTTTTCTTAGATGCAAAGGTGGTATTCTGAACTTTTAGTGGTTTTTCTCTTTTGCTTTCTCAAATTGCAGATAATTTCTAATTGATTCGAATATACGCATACCATTTGTCCAGGGATATAGAGAACAGAGCCCTAAAGCTAGCTCGGGGCAAAGCGTCCTGTCATAGTTCCCAATTCTGGTGTCATGCAGATTGTTTGGTCTAGAACCAGTCCCAAAGGAGCTTGGACGTGCTAAGAAAATAGTGTCAAAGAGAGCTGATCATTGACATATAGATACAATATATGTGAGACAAGGTACACTATACTCTGTAGATTATACATGTCCCGTTTGGGTTAAAGATGTGGCGCGTGTGGCGAGCCAAGACTTCCCGTCCAAAATGTTCGAGTACCAAACATTCCGACTTTGGATCCAGGAACCAATTGTCCAACCTCCTCTTTCTCTAATATAATCCATTACCAAGGGCCTGATACTTTAAGAATGGTCGCTTTTGCTCGCGCTCCGCTTCCCTCGCAGCTATCCGCCGTCGCCCGTCACCCCGTCTCGTTATGTCGGCGCATCCACTCGTCTCCCTTCCGATCAGCTGTTGCACACCCAGTGACTGCCCACGGTCCTCCTCCTAAAGCTCCGGCTACCCCATCAGCAGACTTCAAGGAGACGTCAAAATCGAATGACGCGGAGCTCCCAGCTTCCGAGAGTGAAGCATCGCGATACAAACTCAATGCTGCACTGAGGAAGCGGTTTTGGAAGGATGTCCATGTGCATGGAAAGTCAGGTATGAGTGGAATGGGCATTGGCTATCTCTTTTATTGATTGATCTCGTCCTGTAATACTCGCCAGCTAACACCTCCACTTCACCATCCAGACGAATACCAAGTCCTGCTGGACAAGCGACCCGTCAGAACCCCGACGAAAGAAGTCCTATCTATTCCATCCACAAAGCCTCATCTCGCCCATGCTGTCGCGCTGGAGTGGGATGTGATGACCTCCGCCTCGCAGGCCCTCAAAAGCCACTCTATCCCCATGACCTCCCTGGCAGCCCGTGCCACCGATATCGCCCGCGAAGATGCTGAGGGCGACAGCACCACCAGAAAACAGATTATCACGACTGCTATGCGTTACCTAGATACCGATACTCTGCTCTGCTGGGAGCCCGAGCGACAAATGCACGCATTGGAACGGACTACAGCCGACGGAAAGCCCATCGAGACTCTTCGCCAGATTCAAACGAGAATTGCGGGCAACGTCATGAGCTTTTTGTCCACCAAGGTTTGGCCTGGCCTTGAAATCGTCCCTATCCTTGACACCAATAGCATCCTCCCTCTCTCCCAGCCCAAGGGCACAAAAGACAGTATCCGCACCTGGGTTTCGGAACTGTCTGCGTTTGACCTGGCCGGTCTTGAGCGGGCAATCCTTGCTTCTAAGAGTCTTCTCATCGCGGTCCGCCTAGTTGTGGAATGGAGTGAGAATTTCCGCCAGATTCAGCGACCCGAGACAAAGAAGTTCGGTATCGAGGAGGCGGCTGAGGCGTCGAGCCTGGAGGTGACCTGGCAGACTGATATGTGGGGTGAGGTTGAGGATACTCACGATGTCGGAAAGGAAGATTTGAAGCGACAATTGGGCAGTGTTGTGGTCTTGGTTAGTGGGGAGACTCGATAAGCTACGAGCATCTGTATATTGGGTATTATACTGTATGATAGATATAGATGGCCTGTACGGCCTGTACGGCCTTGCTTTGTATAAATGCGTGTATTACAATGGATACTACCATGAGTTTCACCATATTTTGTATAGTAATAATGGACTCGAGGACAACCCTTACCCTCATGCCAAGGCGGAGATCAGCATCATTTGCCCCCCAAACGAGGACCCCAGGGCCCCCCGAATTTCATTCCTCAACCTTGAGCAGACAACAGTTGATGTATTGAATATAGTCCAGGGTGCTACAAGAATGTCTGATAGACCTGAAGGGTAAGTCTTTTGTTCCCTTAGGTTGGCACTAGGGATTCTCGATCCATGGTTCATCATGCATCATGACAGCTGTGAGACCCCGAGGGGAAATACCTTGGCTTAACTGCCTTGGTATGTCTGTCCTAAGCCTTAACCTTTGAGCAGTCACACGTGAACAGTGTACACGGTGCATACGGTGTATGGACTTTGTACGGACTTTGTACTGACATGCCACTGTCTCTCAGGCACAAACACAAGCGCTCTCGGAGCGCAATAGCACTTGCCCTCCTCCACCGCGACAAGTCCAAGGGCGAAGATAAAGACCCCGATGATAGCGGAGATACCAACTCGGTCACCTCCGCCTCCTCAAACCCCGGCTCGTTGAAACACACCCGCAGCAGCAGTCGCCACAGCCGTCGCAAACAAGGCCAGGACCCGAGTCCGCCACCGCCCATTCAAGAATCCGCCGAGGATATGGACGCAGTCGGAGACCTGCCTTCCTTGAACCAGATGGAGACAGGCACCATGTCGCTCGAGCAGTCCGTTCGCACCTTTCGTCTATTTGAGATCCTTCGCAGCGGCGATACCACCGCTATCTCCAATGCCATTAAGGATACTATCGACCCGCAGGGCGTGAGTTACCTCAACGGCACGACTGTCCTCCATCTGGCTCTGCAGTGCGCCGAACCCCAAGTCGTGGAATATGTGCTGTCCAACGCGGAGGACATCGATATCAACTCGCGAGATCGGGATGGAAACACGCCACTTCACATTGCCGCCCAACTGGGGCGGGGCCCGCTTGTTCGCGAATTGTTAAACTGTCCGTCTATCAACGATTCCATTGTCAACTATCGGGGTCAGACGGCTCTCGATTTGGCCCGTACCCCTGAAATCTTCCAGCAGCTTCAGCTCGCGCGGTCTCTCTTCATTGATAGCAAGAACCAGGAGATTCAGGCTTTGATTGGAAGCTCTGATTATAAGGGCTTGGAGGCTTTGCTTGAGGAAGCTCGAGTGGAGGGTATCATGGATGTGAACAGTTACGACCTGGTTACCGACCCGACGACAGCCCATTCCGGTGGCACGCTTCTGCATGAGGGTGCTAGAAATAAAGATGCGCAGCTCATTGAAATCCTTCTGACACATGGTGCGGATCCTTTCCGTCGCGACAAGAAGGGGAAGCTACCGCAGGATGTTACCAAAGATGATAAAACCCGCGCTCTCTTGAAGAGATCACCCGCTGCTGCTATTGCTCAGCGCGGTATTCAGGAAAGGGCTATTCTCGGAAATAGTAATGCTCAAGGCCTTGCCGGACGCGTTTCGATTGGGGATGCCCCGCTTGCAGGCAAGGATGCCCGCGAGATGAGAGGCTATCTCAAGAAATGGACGAATTACACAACGGGGTACAAGTTGCGCTGGTTCGTTCTGGAGGATGGAGTTTTGAGTTATTATAAGCACCAGGGTAAGTTCAAGGGTTATCTTCAGTCTTGTCGTCGCTCCTCGTGCCCATCGACCCCTGCTAACTTGCTCTATAGATGATGCAGGCTCTGCCTGTCGCGGTGCGATCAACATGAAGATTGCGAGGCTTAATATGGATGCCCAGGACAAGACGCGCTTTGAAATTCACGGAAAGTCATCGGTCAAATACCACCTCAAAGCGAACCATGTTGTGGAGGCAAAACGCTGGTTCTGGTCCCTCAACAATGCCATTCAGTGGGCCAAGGACGAAGCGAAGGAAGAGGAGCGTCAGCGGTCGAAGAATGCAGAGGTGCTTCGCCAGGCTAAGATCGATCAGACAGAAGGACGCCCTGCGGATACACCATCGGAGTCTGGCCTTTCTCACAAGCCCAGCACAAAGGGTCTCGCTCCTCCGTCTTTGGGTGGTGGAAGCAGTGGCACAAGGCTCAGCGCATACGCATCCCGCACCACCCTGGATATTCCAGCTGGAGACGAGGATAGCTCCGCTTATGGCGGTTCCTATGACCAGGTCACTGCTCCAAACGACATGAACAGAGTAATCAGTCATGTCACGTCTGCGCCGGACGGAGATGGTGAGGATGAAGAATTTATCGACTATGGTTCGAGCCATGAGAATGATATGCCAGCAGCTGATAAGGATGCTCTCAATATTACCGCACAATCTGCGAAGCTTCAGTTGGATCTTCTTGCCAATGTGGCTGCCTCGTTACAGGCCGAGAAATCCAAGAATCCGGAAATGACCATCGCGGATCCAGCCCTCGATCAGGCCCTCGGTGCCTATGAAGCTGCAGTCAGCAGCCTCAAGGGTCTAGTGCAGAATCTGCTCAAGATCTCACGCGACCGAGACTCTTACTGGCAGTCCCGTCTCAGTAGAGAGGAGTCTATTCGGCAGATGTGGGAAGAAAGCATGGCCCGCGTGGCCCGTGAGCACGAGGAGTTGCAATCTAAGATGGGCGAGTCTGAGGAGAAGCGGAAGCGGACCAAGCGCGCTCTAAAGGAAGCCCTGGAGAGTGCAACAGGCAGT